TCATTGAATTGTATGGAACCATTGCATGGGAAAAGAATTCAAATGAGGATTAACCTTGTTTCCTAAGAGAAATGAGGTTCTGCTACTCAAAGGGTGGATGGCTTCTGATTCTTTATGGCAAGAAATCTATATTACTTTGGAATGGGTTTTCAAAGGATTTTATCTCGGTTCCTGATATGCTCAAAGATTGTGATCCATTCCAAAGTAATATAGAATTCTTGGCATAGAGAATCAGAAGCCATCCATCCTTTGAGTAGTAGATCCTCATTTCTCTTGGGAAACGGTCAATTCTCATGCAAATTCTTTTTTCCATGCAATGGTTTAATACAATTCAGTGACCCATTATGAGCAAATACAAGCTAAGGGATGGAGGATTGTCGAGTTTAAAGCCATCTCAAGTGGTTGTTGTCCATTGTATAGAAGGGATAGCTAGCTTACATGTCCTGTTAAGACTACAAAAGTTGCTATAGTCATGCTGGATAAGATTCCTTGAGATCTCTTGAAGGATCTCTACAGGAAGTTCAGAAACTCTTCCTTGTGCTCCTCTTATTTCTTCTTTTGTAATTGACTGTGTAAGACTTTCTCTCTCCCTTATCTCCTTTGCACATCAAACAATGTATAGCATTCTATGTATAGCAAGCTAATTATTATCTATTATTGGCAATCAGTTAGTATTAGTAGTATGTTATGAATTGTTACTTGAAACTGACAATAGGCATCACCCAATCAAGACAATAATTTGGCATCATATTTGGCAATAATTTGGCATCATATTTGGTGTTGCTATATTGAACAGTGGAAAGGAGACCGAAATCTATCTTATGTTCCATGTTGAAAGAGTAAAAGTTTTTGCTAAAGAAGTAGAAACAATATGCATTGCTTGTTTCAATTATAGGGTTCGTAGAATGATAAGAGAATTGGTATTTATCACCTATGAAGAAAGCTTTGTCCTCTAGTGTGTCCATCTTTTCCCATGCCCTTCTTGAGAAATTTAATCTTGAAACCTCCGAAGCAGTAGGTACCAACCTGTAAAATCTCCAACCCACCCTTTTGCAAGTCTTCCAGCAATACAAACAACAAACACTTGAAAGCAATGCATAACTGCCAAGCATTGGTTCAAGGTCTTCATTGAGACACCTTGAGAATTACTTACAGAAGGGTGGGAAGAAGGGAAATGCATAACTGCCAAATTTAGGAGACACCTTGAGAATTACTTGTAGTCTTGAACATGGTGATGGGAAAGAAGAAGACAACACAACTGCCAAGCATTGGTTCAAGGTTTTCATTGAAAGCTGTTGTTGGAAGGTTTTTTATCCTCGAGGGCAAGGATGCTTGATGAGGGAAGGTATTGATATATGGTAAATAGCATCAATGACAGGTGGAAGACATGTAGGAGCCACATAGGATTAGTTTTATATTTTATATATTGTTGTTTTTCTTGTCATTTTATTTAACTTAGTGTTGCCGTTTTTTGGTAAGGGTTAGGACTAGAGTGCAGATGGTATTTAGAGGCTGCTTCTTCTCATTTGCAGCTTGTCTATGAAATTGGTTGTCCCTTATCTGTTTCTCTGTATTTTTCCTGAACTCCCTTTGTAATTGGTATCCACAAGAGTGATATATCAGAGACTTTACTTGATTTCTATTCTGTTTATTCCAGGCATCAGGAAAGTATAGAGTCGGTGATGATGATCGGAAAATGGTGATTGTAATCGGAGAATCAAATCAAACCAAGTGGGATGGTGATGGTGGTTGAAATTGGAGATCCAGAAGGGAGAACGGTCTAGAGTTTTGATGAGCTGAATTTATATACATATTAATGTAAATTTTTTACATTGATATTATTAATATTTGGATGAGTTTTGTGATATTTTATTTGATTTCACATGATTTTTATTCCGTGTATAAAAAGATTTGATTAGAAGAAATCATAATTTTTAGTGTCAAATTACAGAGATTAGACTGCTGAGGATTAAATTGTACGGAACTCAAGAGTTAGAGACCAGAAGTGTCATTTTATCATTAATCAAAATTGCTTGAAAGGCTAAAATCCTGATACGGATTGTTCTTCTTAGCTGATACAGTGAAGGTGCCAGCGTATTCTAGGTTGTCGATAAGTCTTTAATATTTTATATGGATACGATGTCTATTTTAATTGGATTTTTTAAAATTTTATAAATACTCATTCAATATCATAATAAAGAGAACTTTGGGTAGCTGGTCGTTGCCTCTTTTTCTTTTGGACACTTTTTGGAATTAAGATAGTGCATTCATCAGTAATAGAAAATTTATCAATAATAAAGATCATATATTTTAACTTTTTTAAATTTGGTTTTATTTTTTAAAAATTATTTTTATTTATTATTTGATATTTTTTTATTCATAACTATGATTTTAAGTTTTATTATTTTTATTATGAATTAATTTAGTCTACTAGTACTATAATATAATTTAATTAATTTAATATAGATTTTGTAATTTTTATATTTTCAATTAAAGTTATTCATATAATGAGTTTTTATTATTGAAGTTTAATTATCTTTTGATTGATTATGTGATTTATACATGAATTTAAGAAAAAATTGCATAAATTAGGCCAATAACAATATCAATTATCTGTTAAACTATACTGTGAGACCGAGAGCTAATCGGTGTTACATGTGGTAGTGGAGAAAGAGAAGAGAAAGAAAGTTAGGAGTTCTCCTAACTCGGAGGTTTTCACATTATCTAATACTTGTTAATTTGTTTTAAATTACATAGAGATATAATTAATTTAATAAATAGATGAAAAATTAATTAGACTTAAGAAAGTTAGTTAATTAATTTAAGAAAATCTGTTATCATATATAATAACACTTAACAAATTGACCTTAAAAATATATTAATTCAAAATTTATATTGATTGATTATGATAAAATTGATGCCTTAATACTTCACACATTAGTTAATTTTATTTTAATTGCTATTTTAAAAAAAAAATTAATTAAAGTTCCTTTTTTTTTAATTATTCAAATAAATTTAGATTAATCATTTTTATAATTTAGTGAATCATAATTTTTATAAATTTAACATTTATTATTATATTATTATTTAAAGTGACTAATTTACTCATTAAAGTAATCACCAGCGCATCAAGCTTTTCTTTTCTTTTCCTTTTTTATTTTTTCATTTTCCTTTTGCTTTGTCCGGCACCCCTAAAAAAGAAAGGAAAACTAGGTTTTTATTATTGGTTAGTGGTTTTTAGCTGATTTTTGGATGAAGTTGGCCATTTTATGGACTGCTGAGATGAGTTTGTAAATGGACCGAGACTTTAAGGTTTTTGAATGTAACTTAACCCCCAACTTCTAATTTTTTTCAATTAAGTCCTTGAATTCCTTTTTGAATCTCTTTACAAAATTTTCTTTTTGCATGTTGAACTGAAACAAAAGTAAAATATATATTAGTTAAAGAAAAGGAGAAAAAGAGAAAAATTCATATATATATATATTACATTTTTTTATGTTTTTTTTTTCTTTTCACATTTTGTAATTTTTTGTATTTTGATTAATTCTATTTTTT